GGCTTGGGGGACAGTAAGGAGAGCAGAATTAGAAGAGCGAAGGTTGCGAGATGGGGAGTAGGGCGATAATTTCTCATGGTATGATGTCAGCGTGTATTTCTAAAACTGCACTGCATCCTGTAGGAGCCATTTCTCCATACTCTATACATTTACATGTTTTGGTACATGTGTCCTTCTCAGGGTATTGAGGTGAAGACAGATTACATTCCTCTGCTCAGATCCTTGGCTATGTATGGATGGAGGCTGACGTGTGTGCTGCCTACTCCAATAGTGAAGACAAACAGGTAATATGAGTCTTTTATATGCAGTGATGTAATTACTGGTGTTAATTTATTTTAATTTGTTCTAAATGTTTTCAGCCATATTCCTTTAGATCTCCCAAATAATTGGGTGATCATTTAGGTTTGAACATTTTTTTGTTAAACTTAAGTTGTAAAGCTGCTGATCTGGTGTACACCAGTTAAGTTGAGGGTGTTGCAAATGACACTTCTAAATTAATTTGTTATTTATTACATAATTTATTAAATTAAGACATCCTCTACAAGACCATCCTTTAACCTATTTGTCTGCTGACATCAGAATTCACTTCCACTTGAGCAATAGGAAAGCAGCCTGGCAATAAAATATGTGGTGGGTCAAGCAGCTTATCCAGTAAAGAAGTTCACCCAGCTCTGTTTGACATCTATGTTACACAATTTAGGTCACAGTAGTCAGTCTGAGCTCTCTCGGAGAAACAACCCTTGCAACTTCCTGAACGCCTGTTGTGACAATAGTGAAGGTCGTACCTCTCTATGAGCTGACACTAAATCTCTTATACAGTGCCTTGCAAAAGTATTCAGTCCTTTTCGATGGTGTCCCATTTTGTGAAATTACAAAATGTACTGTATACAGATTTTTAAACTTGATATTTTATTCAAAACATAAATACTCAAACTGAAGACTTCTAAACGTAGGATATGATCCAGTACTGTAAATGTCAGCAAAAACTAAAGAGAACCAAATTAAATATGTTGATTACATAAGTATTAGAGTCATGAATTCAATATTTTGTGGAAGAACCATTAGCAGCAATTACAGCAGCAAGTTGTTTTATGTAAGTCTGTTTATGACACAGTGACCTGATGGAGATAGCCACATCTTGCTAACGGGCTGAAGAATACAAAAGCTTGTTCCTAGTGAAAGCTCAGAGAGGAACGAGAGCTCCCAAAGAGCAGCCTGGAGAGAGAAGACAGGTGGAGAAAAGGACAGGCGTTAGCAGATGGGCATATCTGAGACTGCAGTTGAGCACAGCTATCAGGGCTGATCAGGGCAGGGTGGCTGCACCATCACACAGGGTTGTAAACAGGAGGTTCGGTTCTGTGCCACTGGTCCAGTGCTTGGCTGGATAGAGGGGGGGTGCTTGCAGGCAGAGTGGGTTTGAGACAGATGGAGAAATTCTCAGGCAGAGTGTCCTTCTGGGAATTGGGCTTGTTGTGCAGCAAGCACTATGCTGTTAAGAAGATATCTCAATATATGAGTCCCAGATCAGTGACAGATCAGGATTTAAATATCCTGTGCTGATGGAATAATCACCCATTAATTGGAGGCAGGCAGCTGGGACAATTGTCCCAAGTGAGTCTGTACAGCCCTTGGATGTGTTTGACTCTTCATGCAAATGTATCCAGTTTCTGTGGAGACCAAGGGCTGTGGTTACATTACCATCTTAACAACTCAATTGGTGCAACCTTTCGTTTTAGCAGATTCTAGATAAGATTCAAGACAGTACTTTGTCTGGGCCTCTCAGTGATGTTCTCTTTCTTATTGTTAAGCCACCCCAGTGTAGCTTTAGATCCTGCTGAAAGGTCCCAGTCCTGTGTCTAAAACAGTTTTTTAAAGTGTCACAATTTTAAAAAGCAGTATTTAAAAAAATATATATTTATAAAGTAGCATTTGTCCCATTTTTGTGTCTAAAGCAGTTGGTACTTTGGTCTTTTCCATTGGTCCTGACAAGCTTCTCAGTCCCTGCTGAACTCAAGCAGAGTTATAACATAATATAGCTATCACCATGCTTATAAGTAGGGATGCCATTCACTGAATGGTGTATTGTGTTGGATGTGAGTCAGATATAACATTTTGCAACCATAAATGTCCAATTTTGTCTTCTTTGACCACAAAACCTTTTGCTACATGTTTGAATCTTTGTGTGTCAGCAGTTATCACTTAGGTGTTTTGCTGTGGGATCCCAGCTCATCCCATGTGGGATGTTTTTTGTTAGACTCATAGACATTTTCTCCTATTTCTGCTGTTGGCTTCATTGTGGCATCTTTAAAAAGTTCCCATCTTAACTGGCTGCTCGCTTTGAAAAGACAGCAACTATGCCAGGGGTTGGCAACCTACAAGCCATTATCAGCATGCAAAGGGATTTTTAGTGACACTTGCAATTAAAGCAGTATGTGCAGTAAAATTCTAACATACCACGAAGAAATTAAGTTAATAAAACTATAAAAACTATGCTTGACTGATCTGTAATTCTCTAGAAGATGCTACCCAAATAAAGCCTTTTAGCACAGAAAAAAAAGCTATTTGGTGTATTTACTGCATTATTTTTAGTGGCGCTAGCCTGTTGTTTTCACATGAAAGCTCACAATCCAATCCAATAACATTTTTTTAAAACTTTTTATTTAGCGATGAAAAGATTTACAAACAGAACGCATCCAGCAAAATAAACGTTTGCCTTCATCTTTCATTTTTGTTACATTATGTTCATACATACATATAAAATAAACTATTTACATTATGCTAGCAGATATGGGGGGCTATACAAGAAAATACAATTGTTTAATGAGAAACACAACAGTAAAATAGTCCACACAGAAATATTACTGTGTATTCTCTCATAAACTTAAATCAGGTCTCAGTGGGGAGATAAAATTAATCCCTGTTTTCCATTATTTCCTAAACCTCTCTGCCTGTAACCTGGGAGAAAAAGTTATCTTTTCTATTATATAGTTCTCATTCACAACATTAACCTATTGTTCATGTGTTGGAGGTTCTTTTATAAGCCATTTTCTTGTGATTGCTTTTCTACTAGCTGCTAGAAGAATCCCTCATATATATCTATCCTTTACTTCAATATGATCAAAGTCAAAATTGGCCAAATTATGGGATTATAATTATAACATAAAACATCTGTTTTTTTCTATATTTAATTTGTACCCTGATACCTGACCGAATTTTTCCAAAAGATCCATAACTCTGATAAACGATTCATTGGGGTCATCCAAATATAGCAGGGCATCATCTGCATATAATGCGATCTTATGTTCTTGTCCTTTAATTTCTATCCCTTTAATTTTTTAGTCTTGTCTAATCCATCCTGCTAAAGGTTCTATTTACAGAGGAGAAAGAATAGGTGACAGGAGACACCCCTGTCTTGTACCTCTTTTCAAACAAAATCTCTTAGAGAGATGTCCATTGATCTTAATTTGTGCTGTAGGATTTAAGCAAATTATTTTTATCATATTGATAAATTCATCAGCAAATCTAAATCTCTCTAATGTCTGATATACAAATTTCCAATTGACCCAGTCAAAGACCTTTTCTGTATCTAGACTGACTAAAATTGCCTCCTTCTTTTGATCATCAATATGCTTATGTCTTGCGTTTGTCTGTTCTGAATAAAACTGGTTTGATCTAAATTTATCATCTGAGGTCATATTTTCTTTAATCTTTTGGCTAGTATTGAAGCATAAATCTTCATTAAGTACAGGAATTGGGCGAAAAGATCCACATCTAGTTTGATCTTTTCCTTCTTTTGGGATAACAGAAATAACAGCTTCACTCCAAGAAGGT